GTTGTTTGCACTCAGCACTGTGATGCAGGCGAATAATCTTGCAGGGAAGAGTGACATTCGTACTCAGATCGGATCTGATCTAAAATAGCGCGTATCGAAATAAACATTTTCGACATGGCTTGGCGTTTGAGGTTTGTTCTTGACAAGATGCCCGGTCAATTCAATTTGCAAGTGGGCATCCCGCTTTTTTTTTTGTTAAACAGAGCAAAGTAGTATTTCGTAGTCTACTCGACATCGCAGCTACTTAACTGCTCACTCTCTGACGGCCTGCGTCCGCACCCGTCATATTTTGGCCTCGCTTCCACTATGTACTTTGTTTTCGTCCAGCCCACAGACACCAAAAATTGTTTTCCATCACATAAAAGAGGCAACATCCTTCTTTATGTTTAGGAAGTTGAATATGCGTCAGGAACTCTCAAATCACTTATAGACGTGCCTATGGAGGATAAAAACGCCGGTAGAGATTTGCAGAGCATATTTCGGATAATTCGGGGGCGGCTTTACCTACGATGTATTTCTTTAGGGTGATCTGTCCTTTATTTGTGTTGTCAAGTCTTCAGGCGGTAATAAGATATTTTTTCTTGTCATTAGTAAATTTGACGGTGTGAAGTTCAGATCCTCCCGTGTTGCTTATTGCCCACCCGTGTCGATCTCAAGCGACACAGGAGGACGATACTCGAAAATACGACATCTGTTGCGTCTGCGGAAATGTGTTCTTTTTTTGTTTTTTTGTTTTCTCTGTTTGACAGTGTGAAATACCGGGTCGCTGGGTATTCCAAAAAGGACTGTGTGCTCACGTTATACACCTGAAGGTATATACTCAAAATGTGCAGGAAGAAAGATAATAAATGGTATTCTTCTAAATAATCCGATACACGAAGCCTTACTGTAAAAAGAAATGTATTGAAATGCATGTTCTCAACGTATACACGTTTGACGGAACTCCGTCTGGCAGGGCCACAGATTCGAGAAATACAGACCTTCACCAACCAAGTCCTAACCATTTAGGAGCCCCCCATCTCAGGGTCAACAAGATGTCGATTCTTTACTAGCTCGCCCGCACTCCATCACTGCTTACACGTCGTTTCAATAAGTCCGGCTAAATAAGTCGACAGGCACTTAAACACCGGCGTGTGTCAACGGAGTAGGGCATTTGAAGAAGAGAAAGTGAATGAAGCCAACGACACACCGTAGATGGAAACGAAGCTGCTGCTCTCCACGTACAAATAGTTGACCCTGATGAAAAAAAAAACGAATCGGTTTCGAAACGTCGGGCTCCTAACTGTTAAGGACATGTTTGGTAATGGTCCGTATTTGTCTAATAGAGATGCGTGCATTGATGTTCCTAATTAGACAAATAGCGCGAAGAAGAGACAATATATTTCTAATTTTATTACATTAGGACATCGGCTTGCGCGAGCTCGAACTTCGCAAAATAGTGTCTCGAGAGTATAAAGTTATATTCAATTCTGCGTGCGCATGTTCTGGGGCTCAATTTGCAACTCGGAGCTTTATCAGTCATGCGCGCTCTAACAATTTATTGGGCGGCCGCATATCATCGCGAGACTGCTATATATACTGCACAACTTTACAATTTGGAAATCCCATTTTGCTCTACTACGTTTCAGCTTAAAAGGGCGGTGCAGCGATTTTCATTTGGAATGTTTTTCACTTTACACGAGCTTACTGGCACTAGTGGGAGACAAGGATACTCGCACGCAACGCCACTGACCAAGAAACTCCTTTGTTGCGGTGTAATTTCAAGGACAAAAGCGATCATTTTCATTCAATCTCTCCTTTGCAAAAATTGATGACGTAACGTGGGGATCGCAGTACACCCCAACGACGATATTTGAATGCGGTTCATAGATTGGACCCGAGCATTGCGTGGGCACTGGATTTAGGCTCGTGATAATCGATCACTCGAGAAGCATTCGGGTAGTGGCCCGTGTCCAATCGCTGCAATGACGACAATAGCCGAACCACAACAATGTCTCGAACTCAGCGCCTGTCCTGTCCCTTGTCAACCGAAACGCGTGGCCATCATCAACATTGGCGGCATATATTCAGCTCCAGATCACGTGGCCGCTTGTTCTCGCTGCGAGTTGAGAGGGTAAACCCTGCTTGTTTTTCTTTAATTTTTTTCTGGGACTTCTATTGCGTGGGGTGAAAAACGAACGCGTGTTATATAGGTCATTAACGCCAGGGATCCGTTTTCAGCGGAATTTGCGCAAAGTAACAAATTGTTGCATCGCCCCTTTAAGGTATGTGTGAACCGGCCTGTATGGCAGCTTGCAAACAGCAGAGCGTTAGCATGTGCCATCCGCCGAGCCTTTAATCTCCTGCTGCCGTGCGCAAGTTCAATCCTTACACGTGCCGGCGTGTCGGCGTGCCGTCGTGTCCCTCTGCTGCGCGACGCATGCTCAAAAACTCACTGAGTAGATGTATCGCACTGGGTAGTTTTTTATCTCCAGCGGATACTTAAGTCCAGGCGGAGCCGATGAAACAAGCTCGAGCATATGGCCTTGAACAGCGCTTGCACTGCACGAGCGCGAGTGCTGGGCAGAGACGCTGAAAGCCAGAAGTTTGCTTTCGCAGCTTCTGGTACGCTCACACGTAAATAAATATTAAAATGAAAACAAAAAAGATTTTTTAATTGCATAGAAGTGACATTTATGATTTTTTCAATAATGTTTCCAAGAAATGAAAAAAAAAAATGAATTCGCACAGTGTTTACGTTGTTCGACCCAATTTAGGTGGAGGTCACGGCACGCTATAAGCCCCGACAACAAATCAGTGGCCCCGCCCGTTGCTACTTGGCTGGCTTGGCTGCTCGGTTGGCATCCGGTGCGTCTAGTCCGGCGTCTAATTCAGCCTGCTAGTCGTACGAGCAGACACGCGGCAGCCTACGGCATCGTCTGCTCTTTCACCACCGTCCAAGGTAGTCTGCAATGTCAGTGAGACGCGGGCACGAAATTTGCTATTCTGCCCCCGACCAAAACCTTCTGCAACGCTCCCAAGGCGTGACCATGAAAGTGGCATTCAGCGTTTCATCATGTATGCGCTGCGGTCCAATACAGGCCTCTGTCAGCTTCTGTTGATTTGCGGTAAAACGTGACCGGGAGTAGTAAAAAAAAGCAACAAAATAAATATGCAGTCATTGCACCTTTTCTGTTGTATTTTTTTCTCGTGCACGCATCCGCGAGGAAGGGGATTGAGCGTCATGACCAACAAGGCTTAGCGCAACATACTGGCAGCTGAAAGAGATCCCCATCCGGCCGCAGCCATGTTGCACATTGTTACCACTTGACGCGGGACATTATAGTTTTACGGTTCGATTTTGACAGAGTACCGAGCGCAGATGATTGCTTTTTGATCTTTAATAGCAGTACCGACGAGATAAGTTATGCTTCATTTATTTTAAGTCCGAAATGTGCTTTTACGACAATACCTCGGGCAGCTTCGCCATGGCTCCGATAAATGCCGTCAGCCGCGGTGCTGTATTTCAGGGTTTTTATCGGAGCTAGACAGTGACATCTGCGGCTTAGTTTATTATGTTTTTTTTACAGTGATCGCAATACAAATCTTGGCTCAGTTTTGCGTAAAAGCCTCAGGATTTGGTACAGTCACGTGTCAAGTTGTCGAAATTGTACAACATGGCGGTTAGCGAGGGGGGGGGGGGGGGAGGGGTTATCTCTAACCCTTCTGCCTCGTTGGTAATGACGCACAATTAAAACACGGCCTAAAAATATTCGCTTCGGCAGGCCAGGTGCACTGGAAATCTTTAGCTAATTGACTTTCGGAGCGAAATGACGGGAACATACCTGGAGAAACTTGGTGCGTGCACGAATTTAAGTCTGCACAATAATTTCCTTTTGGTCAGTAAAAAGGATATCAGCTCTGTGGGCTAGATAATTAAGTCACGAATGTCACCTCTTACGTTCAAAATATAAACGTAAAGCCGGAGTTACACTGTTCATGCATCATAGAAAAAACAGTGTGCATCGAGATTCAAACGGGAGTCACCGCGAAATCCCTGCTTCGAATGCCGAGTGGCAATAAGTTCAGGGAGGAAACATGGGCACGCGGCATTCGAACCACGGACATTGCGGTGACTCGTGTTTGCAGACTGTCTTTTGCGTGATGAATGAGCAGTGTGACCCCGGCCTTATGGATTTGTATGTAGCCTCGTCTTAATTCGTAGCGTAATTGACGTTATACCAGAGTTCCAAACTACGTTTTATTTTTCTATCGTTGACGAAATCTTTGTTTTATAAGCCAGATAGATAGTAGTCACCGACGGCTTAAGAAATGCCGGGCGTGTGACTTATTACCTAAACTCCTCTCTCTTTGTGATTCGTTCTTGAGCGTTGTTATCAGAAGTTTCCGAAATCTAATTGGTTTCGGAGCAATAATAAAACAATTGGGTCCTGGCACGCGCTGCGTTGTTTAGGACGTCAGCGTTTATAGTTTACCACGTCGTATTTCCTTCCCTTGTTTATGATAATAATCACCCCACGCCAGTGCAAGCTAGGAAGCGATAAAAACTGAGTGATTGCATTGATTTGGAAGACAACCATCTGTGGAATAGTTACTGTTTTCTTTCCCTTCTTATAAACCTCGTCAGGTTAATTTTGAGTTCATTCTCACGACGTAGTAGGCGAAGTGTGACTTTGTTTTTCCTGTCGCTTCAAGGCTGTTTTAGGCATTTGTGTGAGATGCAACCACAGAAACCAAAGCGACGAGGGAATCGGAAAAACTTAAATTCATAATTGCTTCCCGAAGCTACTTCTGGCTTTTTATTTTTACTCCGTTGTGTATTACGAGCACTTGTCTCGCATGTTAACGCAGCCTGTCTGAACAATGCTTTTCCCTTAAGAGAGTCTCGTCACAAACGTCAGCTATGAACCGCTACTGCTGTATTTTGAGATAACAACAACAAAAAATAGGAACTTATTTAACATTTGGGCAGTGATCAGTCGATCTCAAACGAGGAGTGAATGCGGAAAGAATACGTTGTAATGGGCCTCCACTGCGTATTGTTGTTCGCATATTTCGCCGCGGCTGAGGTCTGGGCGCAGTACGAGAAATGGACGCCAAGCTATCACTGGACGGAGGAAATGACCATAAAAAACCCGGAAAACAACCCTGCCTTCAACCACCCAGATCTTGGGTCTCTGCAAGATGCATGGCAGGTATGTGATTAAGATAGGAGGGGGTGGGGGACGAAATACAGGCTGTATTCTTAAGATTTTACTTTTTTTTTTTTTTTAAAGACAAGAAAGTTATATTTATGCGGACTGTGCAGGTGAGTTACACGGTCAGAAATACATAATCGATAAGCATCACGATAAATCAGTTTATTAACTAAAATTTGCTCATTACCATTTTTATTGATTGAAGATAAAGATATGATTCCTATCAGGGACTTGCTGAGTATCATCGAAAACTGCTAAATGAGTAAATACCAGAATCACTTGGAGCGCGTAGGAAGCGCACTAAAGTTACCATCATTGAGGTGTTCTGAAGTCGAATTGAGGTCGTGAGTTTTCCGGTTCAGAGGGACACGCCCCCAACGATCACCGGAACCTAAAGACGGTATTGGATGGAAGAGACACCTGGTTTGGCACTAGCAGTGGCTTCGGTGTGGTTTTGGTCACCCTGGGGGCCGTTCCACCGACCGCGTCCTCCACTTCCGGCTTCACTTGGGGTTTTCTCGTTTGGCTGGCTTGAGTCGCTGTATCGCCTCTTCTTCCTACCTCCATGGTTAGAATAAAACTACAGTGAACTAGAATACGAGGTAGTGTTGGGAGCGGAGCCATTCGCGTGAAGCGCGTGGTGTAGGTACCAAACCGGAACCAAACCGTTATTTTGGACCGAACCCAACGTTACCGAAACACTCAGTTGGGAAACTCACCCCCGAAACCTCGACCACTGGTGTTTACCGAGACCCAGCTGAATGCGATAACAGCGCCGCCCTTTAGAAACGAGTTGAGGCATGAAAGTTGCTTTATATGGCTACTGATAGAGTCACTGAATGTTCCCAGAGTACCGAAACTCTCGGACTCGAGGGGGAAAAAAATAACTGTTCAACTTTTTTTTTGTGTGTGTGTGGTTAATATGAGCTTTCAGAAAGCATGTTTTTGCGTAAAAAGAAACGGAAAATGTTCTTTTTCTAGGAGCATTTATTGAAGATTAGTACAGAATGACAGGCACATGATGTTTTTTAAACTCTTTAGTTTACAAGGTTTTGTCGCACAATTTTTATTCTTTTTATACAACCATGTCTCACCGGTGATTTCAGGTAGCGCGTCCTAGCTTGGGTAGTAGTTCGGGATGCGTCCGCTTGGACGATAGGCGTGGCCGCCATCTTGAAACTGACCCGGCACTGCACAGGAAACATCATGAAAGTAACCGGTTCAAAACGGTATAAGTTAATTTTAATTTTTTTTTATTGCAAAATGAATGTCAGAGAAATAGAAATTGGGAGTTGTATTCATATGTAGAGATCAAATTGCCATATACCGAATCGCAATGCATGAGAACTTGTGGGTTTTCGTGGCGCTTTTGTATTGTCACAATGATTAATCATGTGTCGTGTGGTCACGTGACGTCATGATGTCAAGGCATGCTGTCAAGTAATGTCACGTCACGTGGCCACGGGAAGTAGTCACGCGACAAATGTCGACTTAAGTTTACAACGTCACTAGATTTATTAGCGCCACCTCTGTGGCTCCGAGGCGGCGCTCTCGTCTCGGTGGCTCTGAGGCGAGAGCGCCGGCCTACGGATCCCCATGTGGCGGGTTCGAATCCCGGCCGAGGTGCCGGCAATCTGGCGGAGGCTTATTGCGGAGAAGGCGCCGTGTAACCGAGCTTTCGGTTGCACGTCAAAAGATCCCCAGGTGGTCCAAATTAATCCTCAGTCCTCCGCTGGGGCGTGCCAGATGCCCGTCGTTGGTTTGGCACGTAAAACCCCCAAATTTGATTGTAGATTTATTACTGCGTTGTTGATACCCTGACGTCCCATGGCATTACGACCTTTCACCGCGAGTCACGTGACACCTTGACGACCTCCGTTTTCATGAGCCCGAGTCGACTGCTCGGGTTCGTGGCAATTAGCATCGCCAAACATTCGGGTAACGGTTCGCTTTCAATCAGATGTGAGAATAGCCGGACTCTGACAATGTCTAAAGCTCAACCCATAATTTATTCTTTGCCAAACACAGCGCATGCCTTTAATGAAGACCTGTCCGCTCGTTCTAATTGCGAGTTGAGGAGGGGAAAGCTGCTTCTCTCCTTTATTTTTTCAACGCCTGCCATTGAGCGGAGACGAGAACTCATGGGTGTTTCTGCAAGTTATCACCGTCAGGAATTGGCTCTTATGGGTATTCACTGAAAGTACAAAAATTGTTGCAGGACCCATTTTACAGGTACACATCATTGAGGCACCCAAACATGTTTTCGTTGTTGCTGAACTGTTTCAGAAAGTTGTCCCCGAGAAGAGAAGCATTGAAAGGGCTAAATTTGACTTTTTGTTCCGCCGATAAATAGAACTACAACTGTGTACGGGAGAGATACATGAGAAGGAAGATCCTAGTGGCCTAAGAGGTACAGCCGAACGTTGGCAGCCGCTCAAAGTCTTACAGGAGTGTCGTTCTCATGTTCTTCCCTAAGCTTTGACCACCTTCATATATTGTATATACTTCACAGTTTGGGGGAGTAAAATAAGAGAAATGGAGGATCCCTGTTAACAAATGGCTCAAATATAATACAGAGGAGGGAGTCCCACAGGAAAGAAAGGTATTCTCTGGAGGACTATCGAAAAAAGAAGAAAAACGAAAGAGGATTCCAAAATCTCTGTGATGCGAAATTAGAGCGCTGGTCATGAGGACGAGGAAGGGAGGGTACGGAGGGGAGGGCGTGCCGTCCTCCCTCTCCGTACCCCCTCCTCCTCTCCTCTTCCTCTCATCCCCCTCCCTCTTCCATTCCCTCCTCTCCTCTCCTCCTCCAATTCAGTTTCCTCGCTAAATTTAAAGGGGAAAATGACATCACATGACTTGGGGTCACATCACCTATAAACAAATTCAGTTTCTCCGCTAGATTTAGCGGGAAAATTGACGTCACGTGCCCTCAACACCAATTAAATTTCCCGTTAAATTTAGCGGGAAATTGAATTGGTGTTAAATCTAGGGAGAAACTGAATTTGCCCGCTAAATCTAGCGGAGAAACTGAACTCAATTTTCCCTCTAAATTTAGCGCGCTTACCCCGACGCCGACAGCGACGCCTACGCCGCTCAACCCGGAAACAAACGCCTAAGAGCTGCGCTCTAAAAAAAAGAGGGGGGGAGGGAGTCTTAAAAACATACTTTGTTTTAATGTTTTCTCTGCTCCGCATCTTCGGCCAAGAGCAGAACGCGTTATTCGGAAAAATATTTTGTTTGCAAAATCTCTCCTGCAAGAAATGCCCGAAAGCGTGTTTTCGTGTTGCCAGACGCTTTCGCCGATATTCACGGCGCAACACCACGCAAGAATGATTGGTGTATCCCGAATGCAAGGTCTTGCACGGAGCGCGAACCTTCTGCAGCGTGCATTATGCATTGCTCTCTTTTATTTTCTCAGCAAGAGCAAATCACAATGACAACCAACCTATAGTGCGATGACGTCTTTATAATTAAAATTAACAGGTGGTTATTCATTACCAAATTTGGTTATTCATTACGAATGTATCGCGCAAAAGGCTAGGACAGGAAGAAATGATGAGACTGCCCTGTTTCATTGTTCCTTCCTGTCCTAGTCTTTCGCGCTATAATTTTATGGCGATGTCGTCACATAACATATTAAACAGTTCTGTTTTCTGGTGAAATGCGATGTTCTCAACACTAGCAAAGTTGAATGTCCAAATTGTAAAGTTGTGCAGTATATATAGTGGTCTCGCAATGATATGCGGCAGCCTAATAAAAGGATATAGTGCGCCCGACTGATAAAATACAGCGTTGTAAAGTCAGGGCCCAAAACAAGTGCACATAAAGCCGATTAAAATATTAGAATGCTAAGGCTGTACTTTTCAAAGTTACGAGTTCGTGCAAACCTATGTCCAAATGTGATTTCTGTTAGAAATATATTGTCTGCCCTTCGCGCTATTCATATGTAATTAGGAACATTATTTCATGCATTTCTATGCATTTCTTTTTTCAATAAGCCGTTGTGTTTGAAAATTTTTATAGTACTATTTATTATCTCTTTTCCTCCAGATGTAGTGTATTTGCCTTCAGGTCTATTTTTTTAGCATCAGCATTAGTGAGCACATAATTCTTTTAGGGTCGAAGCACCTTAGGATCTAGCCTTGTCCATCCGTCCGGCGTCCGTGCTCACAGCGATTGCCATCCCATCTGTCTGTCATGGATGAAACGCTGCATGTAGCCGCTCAACGTCTATACAGGAGAGAGCGGTGCGGTCAAATGCTCAAATGCGAATATAACCACGTTCCATAACACACATTCTCTTTCTGGCATGGACCGTTGACTTAAGCGGTGGGGATGCGTTTTCACGGCTTCTAGCGGATCCAAGCTGATCCGCTAGAAGAACCACTGCCTCTGCATTTTACCGACCATAAAGCACCATCAACACTAGCTGTGAACAATAAAATCAGTATCATCAGCACAACCATAGCTTCGCCCCAATCAACATCATTCACCACATGGAGATGTGATTTGTTTGGCATACCCCGCGGCCCGATGTTTCTCACGGCCAAAAAGCGAAAAAAAAAAGCCCGTTTCTGGAGACTCAACAGATGGCGTTTTTTCGAGTATCGTCCTCTCATGTCGGTCTCAAGTGTTTATGTGAACTTCATACAGTCCAATTTATTGATCATAATACGAATATATTTACTGACTGAAGATTGGACAACATAAATAAATACCAATCGCCTTAAAGATGTACATCATAAGTAAATGCACCTAAAATTGTCTGAAATATGCCCTGCAAGTATTTTCCGGCGTTTTTATCATTGATATGCAAGTCTGTAAGTGATTTGAGAGAGACTTAAACAAATTTCTGAGTTTGAAGATGATTTTTAAAAAAAACTCCCTGTTCCCGACTCATAAATGTGTTCCTGACGCATAAATGTGTTCCTGACATATGTGTTCCTGACACAAACTATGATGACTGCGCAGGCAGACCGTCAGAAAGTGACTTATTAAGTAGTTGCAGTGTCGAGAAGAGTATGAAATACTACTGCGATCTATTTAACAATAAATGACAAATTAGCAAAAGTGATACTTATTTGCAAATTGGAGTGACCGCCCGTCTTGTCAAAAACAAACGTTAAACGCCAGGATATGTCGAAAATGTTCACGTGGGTAGGCGCTATTTTAGGACAGATTGGATCTGAGTACGAAAGTGCGAATAGATTAGAGTGAACAACTTTGATCACTCTCTTCTGGATGATGATTAGCCTACATCACGCTGCTGAGTGTAAACAATGTTGGTCAGGAAAACAAACCTTGTGATTGCTGCTTAGTGTCTCTATCAAAAGTAGAATGAAAGGGCTCGTCTTAATACATTCGTGGTAGTTTGAAAATATGGCTTATTTCAGCTCAGTTGTGCTTTCATCATATATATTGTGCAACGTATTTCCTAAACTAGATTTCACAATATATATGGCGAGGAGCTGCCAATTTCATAATTTCATGTACTGTAATTAAGTCCTAAGTTTAAGAGAACAAATAGGATTCAACTTTTGATACTCGACGTAAATTTGTACTAATCACGGGTATTTTAGGCGACCTACCAGACTGATGACCTTACCGTTCAAGTAAAATATACGCGACTGAGGTAAATAAATAGACGAATCATGTAAACACAACGTTTTTCAATGTTAATTTAGCTTTTCATTTACTGTGTCGTCGAGATTAAAGATCGCAATTTTTTTTTATATTTGAAAATAAAAATAATAGTGCGAATAATAATAATAAAAACAACGATACAGTCACTCGTTTCAAGGTTGAAATAGTGTCTATTGCCAAAACAGCGCGGAAAATATATTGGCAATTTAGCGGTTCAAACCGGTTCGAACCGGTTCGAACCTTTATTCTTGCTCCCCGAAACTGAACCGGAATTGAACCGAAAGGACTCTACACTAAGTGCGGACAATGCACCCGTTGAGGACTATCTAAGCAAAATCTTTTATTTTGACCCCAAATTAACCCCTGTGGACTATACACTGGGTGGGGACTACAGACCGAAGAGTATGGCACATTATCGCCCTATCATTTTTACAAACAATAATACTTTAAAAAAAAAAAAAAAAAAAAAAAAAAAAAAAAACGAAGAAGGCAGAAATAACTAAAATATGATTAAACATAAATCCAAGGAGCGCTAGAGACTCGTCAACTATCGTTTCCTAAAAGCATGGGATGACCATACGCAAATTAATTTTTCGAGTATGCATTTTGTACTAAAGAAATATCATACCTACAAATGTGCGAGCTAGACATGTTTAAAATTAGCGGCGTCGTTAGCAGGTGTTTGTTCTCCATAACCATATAATTATGCTGTACGGTTACACAAATACGCGCTTGCACGTAATGTAACGGCACGAGCACATTTATGTTGTAGTCATGTTGAAACCAATGATAGTGATACAAGCGTTCCATTTGTTCTTTGTGTATGAGCGTTCATTGAAGGGCATGCATTCATTACAGACGAAAATTATTACTTTGTTGTGATTTAAAGTGGGGCAATGCCTGATGTTTACTGTTGACAGGAAACGAATGCTTAAATGTGAGTAATACCCGTGCCGCACGGGTAACTCGAATGCCATTTACAACGAATGACATTTGAACGATCGGCCAATCAGCGCGCGACACCCCGAGCGTGGGGCCAATCACGCGCGACAGATCGCGAACCCATTCGTCGATCACACGCATGTCATTTGCTGTAAATGGCATTCGAGTGGCCCGTGTGGCACGGGTATAAGTGCCCTATTTAGTTGGCCCTGCCACGCGTCTTTCCGTAATATTTGGAAAATAATAAGAAATGTTTTGTTTTGATGATTGCAGGTCCTAGAAGAAACATCAAATGAGACGTATTTTTTGTTGTTTCGCAGCAGCATTCCCCTTGATCAGAAATGTTTCTCCACAACAGCAAATATCACAGACAAAACGAACAAAACCGCAAATTACACTATAATGAGTTACGATACGAAAGAAAAGAAATAGTAAGTATTTCCCTCATCAGCGAAATAATAATATTAATAATAATTATTATTATTATTCTGCTTTCATGTTTGTTGTCGATATTTTCGGGCTCGTCAAAGCCAAAGTAGGCTTGTGGGGCATAGCCCGGAAGAGGCAGTAAGTCATTATATACATATTTAGTTAAGAAACTAACACAGATAAACAATCATATTTGTCCGGGGGGGGGGGGGGGGGGGGAGCGGTGGGCAGTCAGTCACTTTGTACATGGCACGCATACAGACAGTCAATCACAGTGGGCCGGTAGAAACATTATAGACATATGTACAGCTACATGTAGCGACACATAAAGAGTATACATATAAATATATACATGCCACGGACAGAGATAGTCAATCACAGTGGACCGGATGGAACATTATAGAGATATATACAGGTAAATTAAAAAAGTTCCGACAAGGTTGTCAAAATAAAGGTAAGAAAACATTAACGAACAGTTAATGTGGAATCCAATCAATCAGGAAGTTTTTTAGTTGCTTTTTTGAGGTAAGCGTAAAACTGTCACCAGGAAGTGAATTAAATATGTTCGGGACATAAATATCACGAGTAGCTTGACCGTAGCGAGTATAAGAACGAGGCAAAACATAGCGAGAACAATCTCTTAGAACTCGGAAGGACATGAATGTTTTTTTTTTTTTTAATCATCCATCCAAAAGTGGCGCTAAATTACTGAATTCACGAACAACTTTTGAAAGAAAGGTAACCCAAGATACTCAAAAATATTTCCGCATTCTGTCAAATCACAGTTATACGCCACGCTCTTCAGTAAGTTCCGCAGAATATTATAATCCGTACTTGTGATCTTATGGGGCAATTGGAAAAAAATACCGTATTTACTCGAGTGAAAGCGGCACTGTACACTCTAAAAAAAGCCCGTGCGTCTGCTTTCCCGCACAATACTCGGAGATCCAATCACCGCACCTTACGGATGCAGCTCAGCGAATGACAGGGCCGAAACATATGTTTAGACCAAAAAACGCAGTCTGAGTTGTGACATTATGATATGGAAGCGTGACGTTTTGCATTGCTTAATGTCACAACTCAAAATGCGTTTTTTGGTCTAAACGTATGTTTCGACATTGTCATTCGCTGAGCTGCCTCCGTAAGTTGCGTTGATTGGCTCTCCGAGTGTTGCGGGTGAAAGTAGACGCACTAACCTTTTTTAAAGTGTTTATGAACAAGACCCTTGCGACGGCTTTCCCACAGAACACATATACAGCCAATCATTGCATTTCGCATAAAAAACATAGAACACAATTATCCATTCAAATGCAACCTTCACAGATGGTACCTTCGCACGAAGACGTTATCTCTGTACTGTAAACAGCTGGAATCGTGGTCTCGATCGCGGTGATTGGCAATCTGCGTGCTCCGCGGAAAAGAGCACCCACGGGTTTTCTTCATAGGCAGTGCGGCTATTACTCGAGTAAATACGGTAGTAATTCCGTATCTTAAAACGCAGTATGCAAGACTGCTGGCAATAGCGCAGCGCACACAGATCGGCGCAAGACGTCTACTGGTGTTCAAACGCCAGGCAGCACTTCTGAATTTGCTAAAAATACAGGACATGTAGGTGTTCCAAGCAAGGTCGCTGTTAAAATAAACGCCAATGTATTTCCCTGAATTGACAGAAGAATCCGTCGTACAGGAACAAGAAGCACATTCAGAGGTATGAATTAACAAAGGAATGTTCGTCACAGTTTGTTTTAAAGAATTTCTAAAGCATACTAAACTAGTTTTTGAGGAGTTAACTTTGATACAGTTGTCAATAAACCAGTTCATAGCAGTGAAAACAGATTGTAGTACTTGTGCGGCCCTCCGCGGCGGTGGATCTATTGGCGCTCACAGGCGACACAGGTTCAGGGTCTGCCGCGCCCTACCTCCTAGATCATGTTACCGCCAGGGTTGTAGGCTGATTCGTTTGCAAAGTCGCTCCGGTTGCTTCCTTTACGTCGCGTAGACGGAGACGCCATACGCCGGCTGTTGAAACAGGCACCGCGAAGCATGTTACAGGGTGGCGCACCTCTATCGCTCCGGTCCATGGGCATTTTTAGGTCGGTTGTACGAAAATGTATACGAAATTTTCCCTACAAACTACCGTCCACCTCTGAGCTCTCAATTTGTCTTTTCCTGACCACCCCGTAGCCGTTTTACGCTTTTTAATGATGATGAAATTGTGAAGAGCTGGTAAGTGCACGCCACATTTCTGGCAACCGCGTTAGCGTCAATTTGGCCATATTTCTCGTTTTATAACTTAAAAGCCACAAAAATATTGTATTATGTTTTTGCCGACTCTGTTATTAGATACTATAAACGTCAATTTCGGAGAGTTTAAATAATATTAAATATAGCCTTTTTTAAATGATTTTCAAAATAAAGCATTTTAAACTAAATGCCCCGTGTGAGCGATTCTCGTAGATCCCTCCCGCTAACCAAGAAAACAATATTTCACGCAAAGATGAACTATATACGGAGCATCCGGCTGGCAAAGGTTTGAGACCTTAGCTTCTAGAGATACGGAAAAAAATATTCTTTAATCCAGAGCGTTATTGCGCAATTTTTATTCTCAAAATAGCTACTCTAATACTCGGTGATTAATATTTTTTGTCAATTCTTGTTATGCCTGATTTGTCAGTGAATATTTCTAGACCCGTAGCCAGAACAGTTGTTTGGGAGAAGACGCCCGAAATGCCAACATCGGGCGATACGCAAAACGCGCACGTCACTGAGAGGGTGCTTACAACTTTTTTTTCGCAGAGACAAACATTTTTTTTTTAAAACAAGGATTGGTTTTATTTTTGTCGGCATGAAGCCATCAAAATATATATCTTTCATCAAAATTAAACATGGTCATGGACATGTTTGTTCGATCTTTTTCTGAAAACGCCCAGTAGTTAAAAAGAAAAAAAAAAGCTTCCGAAGACCAAAATTAAACAATTTACGCAGAAAAATTGAATGGTCAACGGTATGCACACGCACACACACACACACAGAAAAAACAGTATCCTGAAACGCTCCGTTCAAATAATCGGTATTGTCGTCTAGGAGCAGTTGCGTGCCCTTCTGAGGTACACAACCATATTGCGATTTGGATATCATCAGGTGGCTGCCCAAAAAACTGCTCATCACAAGAAATAGGTGCTCTTCTAACCGGTTTACCAAGACAGGCAATATTGATATGGGGCGGTAATTCTCTATCACATTTGGTTTCCGCCCTTAAAAATGGGTCATGCAATAGCCACTTTGATCTCTTTCTTAATCTTGCGTGTCCTTATGAAACCGTTCGTCATAAAAAGAAGCACGTGTTTTAAAGACGAAAAGTTAATTGGAGAAAGCCAAAGGGTAATTCCATCTGCTCCAGATCATCTAGTCCACTTCATACTAAACAGAGCCGACTGCCAAGCTTTTTCATCCACATCATGAAGAAAAGCAGACGAGTAAATTGTATCTTTCAATGATACTTTCTAAATACAGCCACTGGGTGATTCGACTGAAGAAGTGGCGAAGGACGTGTTAAGCTTTTCCGCGGTCTTCTTACTATTGTCGAAAAAAAATTTGAAAATGGCGTCACCAGTTGAGCGCTAACTTTAGTGACCTCTGAGACCCTTCACAAGAGACCAAGTTTGTAAAATATTAAAACAATTTTCTGAGAACCTTTTTTTTTTAAAAAATAAAGTCGCTTAGCGAAACGAACGTGGGCAATGACCTCGTTCCTCGGTGCATGAAGTTCTGCGTGTAATTGGACATTTCGAGGAGCTCGCGTACAACGCACTAAAAACTTTTATCAGCGATGGAATCTAAAATATGAGCATTTAACTAAATGCGATCTGGCCTTCGTTTTTTTACTAAATGTTGCGCTGTGCCTTCGCTTTGAAAGAGTCCTAGACTTACCAAAATGTTGAGTTAACATCAGAGTGCGATGACCCATTGGAGAAAAGGGCTCCAAACGCATGACGAAGCCAGTCTGTCCAAAATCTTTTTATCGAAGATTTGAACGATTGGTCGATCACTTTTCGCAGCCGCTGCCGGGCCAGACTGCCATACTATTTGACACCGAACAAAAAAAAGGGTCGGCCATTTTTTGCGAAATTACTGCCGATTTCAGTGTTGCTTCTAACGTCCCGACACAAATATGGTAAATACACGAGGACACCAGTCTACCGCCCACCGCCTCTTATATGGTTGGTGCACTGAAAACGCTTTCAAAACCTACGCCAGCAAGCGTAAGGGTAGTCGCAAACATCGGATGTTTAATCTTTCATCAAATCTATGTTCATATCTCGTACGATGCAGAATAATCTAGACTGCAGCTCGTGCCAAGTTGTCGCTGTGAGCTCATGAAGGCTTTGCCAGTGTCTTTTAGAAGGAGGTCTATAGCGTACGAAAAGACAAAGAAAGTGGAAGGAGGTCTCAATTTTTAAGGAAATACATTCTGCGTAACAGAAAGTTACTTCCTGACTTGAGACATAGTTATTCACTTTTCGCATATACTACCATCCCCCTCCAATTGAATAATCACGAGAAAACTAAAAGGAATTGTAACCCGATAACTGGTAAAGATCTCACAAAGCTTCGGGTTCGTTGGATTACGTTAAAAAAGAGCGTTAATGCGAGGCAAGACTTCATTAACAATCACTCTAAGACACTCCCAGTACTTTCTCAAACTTGCAATGTTAACGTACAGAATATAATTTCAGTGGTAGGGTGGAACCAGCAACCGCTTCAACTTATCGAAGTCCTTTCACGTATTGAAAGTCACCGCCGCTGTCTAACACATTTTTTTCTCTCCAGATTCTGAGCATTGTCGTTACGGACGATGTGCACATTTTCGAATTCCCGTTCGTAAATTCCTATTCCCGTTCGTAAATACCTAAACAAACTTCTACTGCATTCCTTTCCCCTTTATTCTAGCATTAAAGAAAAGTTGCCTGCATGAAAAATGCAGGTGTTCGTTAAAAGGTACCCTTGAAAGAGCGTCCGAAAAAGGCAGCTTACGCAGTCTACGTTAGACAAAGTCAGCTTGCTTTAGGTCTACCCACTAATCCTTCCAATCACAGCTCGGTTTCTGTCGTCCCCGCACGCTCTCATCTCCTTCTCGCACTTAGTTTCTCGGCGCATATGTTCTAAAATTAACTTGCTCGTAAATTATTTTAATTTCAGCGAGAATATCACGCTACAAGTGAAAGCTCTGACTCAAACTGACTACCCGCTTGAAAACGTTATAAGGGCAAACTTCGAAGGTATGTATATACTCAAACCACGCTTTGAAAAGGGGGGGGGGGGGTTTGGGGAGAGAGATATAGCCTAGTAAGGTACGTTGTTGGGCTAGTTGGTTCATCTATATAGCCTGAGAGGGTTATCCTTTCAACCCTTCATTCAGATGTATTCACATTTTTAGGACACATTAGGCCCTATTGGGAATTATAAATTCAGAAGTTTCAGCCTTACCAATCATACAGCATCCTACGCTTCTCAAGTTATAGAAAAGACGTGACTTAATTAGAAACCCTATTGAAAATTCCATCAAGATACGTAATTTGGGACACTGACTGCCAGTCAGCAGCCTTGACGTGCCCTGATGGTCAATCAAATGACGTCTGACTGCCACTGCCAATGGAATTTAATCAACAAGGGCAGCATTTATATAAGAGTAAAGCTATAAGCACTCATAGATATCGCCAAATGCCTCGACGAAACAAAATGTTGGAGAAAAAAAAAGAAAAAAAAAAAAAGCAGGTCAACCGCGGATCGAACACCCGTCCATTTGCGTACAAAACGGACACCTTAACCCCTATGCTATGCCATCGCTTAGGAAACTCGATTTGACCATTTGTTTTATACGAGATGCTTCAGCTGCAAATGCAGTTATGCCTTCAGCATGTTATGCAAAGCACTCGTGCATCACTCGCCGTACTTCAGTTCTACTCACCTGCCACGCAGAGTAATTTCGCGACGTAGAACGATCCTTCAGTTCGCGCGTCTCCGGCCCAGTAGACCTGGTACACCTTGTCGTCTTCAACTACACCGCTTAAGTCCATTACATCGTCGGAACTCACAACAGGCTAAGTCTTGTCGAGTAGACATTCCACTAAAACATAAGACATTGTAGAGCCCGGGCAGGATCGACAGCTTGGAGCAAGCGGGCAAACAAAACGAGTCGAGAGCGACCGTTTACGGAAGCTCGGCGAAGCCTCTTTGGGCGACGTGAAAGTGGCGTGCTCGGCATTTTGGCGGGCGTCTGATCAAGGTTGTCGGTCGATTGCGCTTCATATCTCTAACATCAGCGGTTTTATGGGCTCACGTCCAGAAATTGTTTTCTCAAGCATAGATTATTTTTCGTATTCATAGATTTGACGAAATAGCGGTATCCGAACGAACTTTACGTCCTTTGACCTTACGTCTGTCTGCACGTCAAAGCTTTTTTACGTACAGTCAGAGACAGTCGATGTACAATCAGAATCGCCACTAAGACATCTTGATGGCATTTCGCGGCGGCCGACTGCCACCAGGAAACCATCAGAAAGCCGACAAGCGGAGTGTGACTGGAGTTTGAATGTCGGTCAGAGTAACTTGTTGGCCAATCAGACACGCTTGACGTACAGTCACGCACAGTCAGCGGTCCACTAGAAAACATTGACTGCCAAACAGGGTTACATTGATAAATTTTCCTTCGGGAAATATTAAAAAAAAATTAATTCCAATCCGAAAATAGTGTGTTTGAATGTGAAGTAGAGTGCCCTAGTACAAGTTGAGGTACAAATTGTAGAAAAGGCAATTTTAGAATAGAAAAAAAAAACACCCAGAAAATAAAAAAAAATTCACAAATGTTTTATCATAAAAGAGCGAGTTTTTTGTGTTTTTTAGACTGAGTATTTTAATTTGTTTTTGTTTTTTATGAAATTTCAGTTCAGGACATTCCTGCATAAAGTTTTTACGCTATCAGAACGTCAAATGATACATTTCATCCTACCAGATTTCCTGGTAAAAAGTGGAACTGAGAAAAATGCATTTGAAGTTTCAACTTCAGGTTTCTTTATTTTCTGAGTCTCAGGCATACAAAATGCACTTGAAGCATCGAAAGCACCTTCTTTTTGAAACTTCATTGTCCCCATGGAATTAACTACCAGCTTGCGTCGTTTGTGAGCAAGCTATTTTCGGTGGCAGGCATTCCTCGACAGATAAACTGCCGAGAACCATGAGGCAAATGATACCAAAAAACAGCAAAGTAGCAATCTGATCTGAATTGGAAGATACTGTCAAAAGGTCACTGCTCAAGATAACAAACTATCACGTCACCGGGCAGGACCAATTGTAGGCCCTATCTTGGGTCTCAACCAGTAAGATTGCTCATACAATATGTTTTAAATTTTGTCTGTTTGTATTTATGGGGTTGTTCTGGTCATTGATTTTTTTAAACTGGGGAAGCTGCGACAGGCTAGATTTAAAGAGGCTCTTCCAAGGATGGTTAGATGGTCTAGCTATGTTACACGAGAACGAAACAGGCCTAATTAAAAAAGTGCGAATTTCCTTCCTGCTGCTATGGAGGGCTGCCGACATGCCGAAAATATGTTTTCTAGATAAATCCTCAATCTATATAAATGAACGTTCCTGAAAACCATTATTTCCAAGTTAGTCAGCATGAATATAGCATTAACAAAAAACGTTTTCTAAAAAAATTAAATTCCATCGCCATTAATTAGATTGGGAACCTTCTTTTCATCGGTGACAAATCTAGATTTTTTTTTACACAGCTCGCACAAATACATAAGTGGTAGATATAAACAAATGCATCGGGAAGTCTGTCATTTCGTTTTTCCATAAAGCAATGGGATCCAGAAATCACTCATCTATTAGTTGAATTGTTTTCAAGCATCTAAGTGGTGGTGAATTCCCTTGAAAGTCTCGCATTCGAAAACTTTAACGTTCGTATGAATATATACTTATATATTCATGGCTTGGGATGTGACGTTGTCCAGAGAAAAGTAGCGGATCTTCTAACTAAACAAAATGCTGTTTTTTTATTTTATACTGTGGTGGTCTTTGAACTTGTACTCGTATTCTGTCTACTCTTCTGCCCAATAAATAATATTTTTAATTCACACTTGAAATAAACACAAAACGAGGACGTACATTCATATCGTGAGGGTATCTGTCGTTTTAAATGTCGCTTTTTTAACTATAATACTTTCTGCACCTTAGCTCGATGTTCATATATATATATATATATATATATATATATATACTTGCCGAAACGTTGAAATAAACCTTCCGTGTTTCTGTTTCTCTGACTTGGGATTTTTAACTTTGTATATGTATGTATATATAAATATATATATATATATATATATATATATATATATATATATATATATATATATATATATACAACGGGGCACGGTGGCGGGAGGCTGAAGGCGTGGGTATATAACTCAGAAGAAAAAAAACCCTTAGTGAAAAAACAGCAACAACGGACGATTTAATCTTCGACGTTTCGCCGGAGTCCGGCCTTCGACAAAGGTCGCACTCCGGCCGAAACATCGAACATTATGTATATATATGTATATATATATCTTTTTTTTTTGGGGGGGGGGGGGTGCATTTAACGATATTTGCATTTCATTTTTACAATTGACACAAAAACATAAAAAAATGAATGTTGTCGACGAATTTTCTGAGCAATATGGTATGGGTCTTCCTCTCCGGAAGGACATGGGGGACAGCGGGCCTTGTTTTGCCGGCTGGACGCCGCGAAGCGGCGTGTACGACGGGGCCATGTGGACGGGGCCAAGTGGGTTAATAGTTCTGTAATTAGCAGCCGCATACTGTCGCCCAGGTAACGCATGACAGTGCTAAAAGCGCGAGCTAGTTGCTTTGGATCACACGGCACGAGCGCTCCTGCAGCGGGTGCTTCAGTCATGCAAGTCAAGGCTACTCGCTCGCCGCTTGCACGGCCTTCGCAGCGATTCTATGCAAAGGTGATATTCCGTCGTATTACACACAAGTATAGCTCCAGCAAAATGCGTACAAAATTACTGCGGCTGGGCTCTGTCACCTCCGGTACACGCAATCTTCATTTGTAACAGAAGTGACGGACGGCACCGGGCGCAGTTTGAAAATGGAGAACTCGACAAGTACAGGCGGCGCGTCGACAACACTCACCAGCGCGGACACTGCCGAGCCGCCGAGCACCCGACCGCACACACGCCGAGTGAACGACATCCCAAAAATGCAGTCACCGGTATCCAAAATAGATCGTGTTGTTGACGTCAAAATAACAGTATATGTTATTGTGAAATGAAAAAAAACCCGTTATTTTGACGTCCGTGACGTCATTGGCCACGCCCCCTGGACTTCAAATCGGCGCCGAAAATACGCGCCTTCCCGTTAGCGCTCCCAGGGCGGCGCCATTTTGTTCGACCGCAGCGCCCTCTACCAACATCTGGGAAGTTCAGCGGGGTAAAACAAGAGAGAGGGCACGCGCCGATTCCGCTAGTAGCCGACAAACCGGGAGATTGCCGCTTTCCATCTTTGGGCTGTACCGGCGGGCTGTACCGAACATCGGACTCTCGCTCGTGGCTGCCGTTGTGAAGTGGTTCGCGTTTTTAGAATATTTATGGCTACTACAAAATCAGCCTGTGTAACGCTCTGTTGTTTTATTTCAGAATCATTTAGCGTATCTTTGTTACGTTACTTCGATAACAGTGGAGTCAGCCGGCAGTACTACCTTCAACCACTGCGTTTATTACGTCAGGAGAGCACGTTTTCATTTATTATTCCAGACTTCCACTCATTGTCGCTAAAGGCCTACACCAGTACGAACTTTGTATAGTAAAAATAAACTATAGCAAGCGGATTTACTTTTCGCCGGAGGACCGGCCACTGTGACACAATTTTTCCATTTCTTATTTTATTTGTATCCAGGTAACAGCGGAGTCGGACCCGGTTATTCTTTTATCGAGCATAGCATTACACAATAACTAGCATATTAAAATTCGCGCATCTGCGCTTGAGATTTCCAAAATTACATGATTTTAAACCGAATTTTAACGCCAGCCGGGTGTTAGGTACAGTTCACTTGGCGAAGCAGACGATGCACGGGGTGAGAGGGGGAGGGCCATTTCTTCTCTCTCCTCTCTTCCTAGTGGAAGCTTTGCAAAAACAGCTCTCTGGCCGCCGCCATTTTGCGAACCGAGCGACCCCAAACAGCCAGAAATTTCTGCCACCCACCTGAGCTGTGGAA